GTCCTGGGAGTGAGACCAGGCTGCATTTATCTGTTGGTGCTTAGAATCGGATCTTCTCAAACGACTGATATTCTGAGCCACAGTCGGTGATTCTGCACCACACCTGTTTTGTGAAGGAGAAGCAGCAAAGCAGAACAGTCTGGGAGTGACAGCTTCCCTGAAGGAAAAGTTATTGAAGCTCAGCAGTATTTATAGACAGAGCTAAACATCCTGTTTACTCCCTTCAAATCCTTAAGGAGGAACATGCAGTATTCATATTCCCAGTCTACAGTGCATCCTCTATTTGCGGAGAAAACTTTATATATAATGCATGCCTCGACACAGGATTAGACGGTTTAGAGGTTGTGTGACAAACTATTACCATCATCATATGCCAGCTAGCACTTTGCACCCAGAGGAGAAATGCTCACTAATTGAGGTCAAGAGGGCTCTTTAACCAAATTTTTTTGAATCCTTTTCAGCCCCATTTGTCTGCTCCTTTTAACACGGTGAAATGGAGGAATGTCCCTTTGGAGACCTGCTCTGAAATTAAAAGCCTTATAATACGTCAGACCTCTTGTCCCTGAGGTGGAGGGAGTAACAGCTCTCACGTCTGTCACTGATACGGGCGGGCAACTTCTCTGGGCTACTTTTTTTCATCAAACAGACCAATTATAGCTTCATCTGAGGCGCCGCCGCTGCTGCGATCCAACGTCAATGGACTTGTCAATCAGAGACTCCCCGGGATGCTGCGATACTTATCGAGGTCCCTTTGGACTTACTACTGAATGGTGGAGGAGGAGACTTTCTCAGCGTTCGGATAGCAGTCCCGTGGAGTTAAAACAAATCACATATCTCTATTGTACATTTAGCATAGAATCTAAAAATGAAAACAGGAGAATCTGTGTGCATATGTGTTTGGAGCGCATGGTGTGTCCATTGGACGTAGTTTGATGAGAAAATAAACGGAGCTTTCTCAGGTTGGTTGCCTGCCTTTGAGTATTAGTCTTGCAATATGGAAATTCAGCACTGCTGGTCATGCACTGTTGGTCACACTTTACATTTCACATCTTCAGCTGAGACCCTATTATGTTTCACACTCACACACATAGCAATGTCATAAACATACAGTACTGCATGTGGGATGCTGCTTTTGTTGTCTCTACATGCAGTCTGTTGCCAGAGACTCAACACTTTGCTTTTCGTTATACAAAGGTATACGTGATATAGATAACAGGTTGAAGTTACCCAGTCTGAGGTCATAGTGCTATGATTTATAACATCAGCTTCTTTCTCTCTTATTACCTTTGCCGAGGAGGCGTAATTATGGATCCCACTGCATTGCTTGGCAAGACCCGCCCCGCATAGCTAGTTGAGGCCAGTGTCATTGGAATATAGTGGTTAGGGTCACGATCAGGCATCAGTTGCATTCTCTCTACTGAACAACAGGGGGCGACTCCTCCGGTTCCAAAAAGAAGTCTGATCGTATGGAAGTCTATGAGAAAATGACTCTACTTCTCTCTTGATTTATTACCTCAGTAAACATTGTAAACATGAGTTTATGGTCTCAATCTCTAGTTTCAAGTCTTCTTCAATACAGCATGATGTTCATTTAGTACATTATGGTCCATTTAGAGTCAAACAGACCATAAAGCAGGGGATGCTCTAGGGTGGGGCTACTGTGATTGACAGAGACGTATACGGCGTCTCTACGTCACTCCTCCGCAATCCGAATATGGTAACTTCTGTTCATTGAATGCAGAAAAATAACATGGCGGCAGCCGTATTACAAGATGGCGACAGCGAAATCGCCAAAATGGCAAACCAATGGGGGACGTCACGATGACTTCGTCCACTTCTTATATACAGTAAGGATACCCCGTTGATCAGGGGATGGGACCTGAATATATTGGGTTATGGTACCTCACGCGGGCAAAGACACCTGGACGATCTTAGCGCTTGAATGCTACACATGCTGGTCTTGCCAGGAATAATATTGGGAACCATAATTATGCGCCAAGACCCGAATTTAATGAAACTTGGTGAAAGGGTCGGGCATGGGCCAACCCATTAAATCTTGGAGCAAATCCAAATCACGGGGGGTTACACACATTATTTTTCACTTATGGAAATGGCTTTGGCGGAGGTCTGCTCTCTCTGAATGCCTTTCTAGCTAGTTGTGTTTTTGTCAGGGTTCAGGTTAATGTAGCTAATGTAAGAAAACTTCAAACAGGCTGGATAGCGATCATTTGATTCCCACTCTGTAGCTTTGTACTGGAAGGCACAGCAATGTCTGATCAATGATTGGTGTGTTCTGAAATGTTACATGATGTTTTACGGTACTCATTTCCCTGTGTGGGTACACCCACTGACTCTTAGTTCAGCCAACGGGGTTATTTCTGCCTCCAGGGCAAATATTTTAACCAGACTTCAGATCAGCACTGCAGTCAATATGCCATCAATAATCTTTTCTGTGCCACTATTGTCTGAGAGTCTAACACAGTAGGCCTTTAGCAAATTACCGTATAGTATCAGCAGTCAGAACAGCCAAATTGTCACTGATCACAGCATTTCTGTCCATATTTTCTCATGAGGAAAAATATCTCCATCCACCCACCAGAAAAAAAGAGCAGTTAATTGACATTGACTGTTGCATGTCTACAGGGCACCAATAGAGCCAAGGCTCCCCTGCAGCCCGAGTGCTGCTCTGAGAGCACAAAAAGCAGCTCGATCTGAAAAGTCTACCTCAGAGCATGAATACTAATGGCATTGATTTATACCTCAATTTCCTGCAGGGAGAATTGTGGACTTTCATTGCAAAGGAGGAGCCAGGACCCTTGTGTGTGCTCAACAGCCTGAAGTGGTGAAAAAAGCAGCTGCATAGTGAAACCTACAGAGGCTCTGCAGATCTGTGGCAAACTGAACAACTAGATTTGGTGCCAATATTGCGCTCCACTGGAGAAGAAGACTGCAAAAAGAGCAGATGTTGGTGGTGAGGGTAAATCTCAATTTGGTGAATGGGCCTAGTCCTATTCTATAGCATGTTACTAAATGATAAAGCTTGAGAATTGTCAGCACAGTTATTCTGCTTAACGAAATAGCTCAGTAGCTGGCTGGCCAGTTAGTTTTCATTTAGTATCATCATCGAGTAATATCCACTACCAAAACTCTCTCACCCCCGACTCGTACCGAGGCTTGGTCAGTGGCCTTATGCTTCAAACTATGACGCTTTAGGTACCTTTCTAGCATCGGTTTAGGACTTTCAGGGATGGCGTATCACGTTCAGCTCGTTACATGCGTATAGTCTAGGGGTTCGTAGGTTTACTTGTTACTTTTACTTACGCAAAAATGTGTTTAGGTTTAGGCAACAAACGGTTTGGAGTTATGTACGTAAGTTACATAACAAAAGTAAGGTTTGACCCGTCCTCCTGTCCTTCCTACCTTACACAGACGCTGTTCGTTATACTACATCAGTTGCTCTGCCTGTCTGATAATAAGTTGGGTGGACATTGGAGTAAGTTGAAAGCCCAGTGCGTTGGTATCAGACGCCGAGGGGCACGGACCAAGTGTTGGTATTTGACGAGTTGTGGTTGACAAACACAAGACTCTCACCCAGGACACCGCTTGAGATCGCTTAAGGCTACCTAACAAATGTGTTATTATATAATCAATTATGTTGAAAAGTGTTGGCGCTCGACAAACGATAAACGGGCTCTTTGAGTCGATTATCATACTTGAAAAAGAGGGGGATTATGCAATGCACTAAAGCATGTTTCTTAAAGTCTGTCTGACTTCTTTTACTTTGTTCTGAGGAAATTGTCTTGGGATCTTGTTTATAGCTTAATTTGCCATTGTGGACTTCCCCATGTGGGTTCAATACCCAGAAGTAGTCTTGAAGTAACAACACGAGATTTATGGCTTTTCATTTAGAGAACACTATAGGCGGTTGTACTTAATCGTTAATCGTACTGCAATTGCCGCCGGTACCATGCTAATAATATCACGCTGTTTCTTGGATTGGGGTGTCTCTATCGAGGTACCGGAAGAGCATAAATCACTCAACATCTGTTGCAACAGACAGCGAGAGGGAGATTGTGTTCCCCCCTGCTCCGCAAACCACATGTGCTTATTGAAGCATGACGGCAAACCACCAAGTTGACTGATGAAAATACCAACTGAACCACTAAATACATTAATGTGTTTTTTAAAGCAAGTTGTGCGTTGCTGTAAAAACACAGCTGTACTAATAAGATTGACATGGCAGCTAACCTTTAACAGGGAATTCCACTGATGTATGAGTGGAGGGTAAATAAATGGGTTTTGCACTGTGTATGCTGAAGGGCGATGCCAGCAACCTTTTGAAAGAACCTCATTTAAAATACAAAACCAAAACTCTGACAAGCAACAAACCTGAAAATGTCAAAGCATCATAATAAATTAATTTCATTTTAATGTGAGCCTCATGTTTGTTCTGGAATTGAACCCAGCTCTGAAGTCTTTGCCATCCCTAATCCTTTCTTGGCATTCCTCCATTATCCTTTCAGTGGATTTGTTTGATATAAAATGTTCGCCAATACCCATATCACAGATCCACTTTTGACAAACAAACTGCTATGAGAGCGATTCGATATTTGCATCCCTTTGATGTTCCTGTCACTGCGACACGATCGCAAATTCTCTGTTTCCGGAAAACCCTCCAATCACGATTTGAACAACACAGTGCATTCTGTTTACAGCCCTTTTCGCTTTTATTGAATAGATAAAAAGCACAACAGCCATGTCGAGATGAAAACAGGATTGACTGACAGACACGGTAACATGTGATATACATTAAAGGTCTTTGCAGATATACTTCCTTAAGGAATGCCATGCACTGGGATCTGATCCATGACGTCTCAGTCAGAGATGATGTTGCCTCCCAAACCACAAATAGACGGTACGTCACTACCACTGCGTTATGTTTTTTCTCTCCCACTATTTGCTGCAGTACTGTTTGAATGCATAAACACAAGACGATGAAAAATTATATGAAATCACTTTTATTCTCAGAGTGTGCGGTGATTCCATTTTTGCAGGAAAGTTACAGACTGAAATATCTGTCTAACATGGCATGCAGTGAGGCTAACAGGTGGAGCTTCGAAACACAGAGAAGACAGAACGAGTATCAACAACCTTGCCTACATCGCACACCATAAGCATGCATACACTTTTGTCAACAAATAGGGGGAAAGAGAGAGAGAAGGGGTGAGAAGATTTCACAGTACAAAAGAATGCACCAAATATATATATCTTTTTTTTTTTTCAAAATACCAACCACCAGAGGACAGAAACAGGACCGGCTACAGACGAGAAAGTAAGCATCTTCTCAACGCGTACAGAACAGAGAAAGACAGATGTGAGGAGAGAGAAACATCAGACAGTTTACATTCAGGTCACATCAAAGGACTGTTTTTCTTTTTGAAGAGTCATATTTTTCAGGCAGTTTTTTAATCATTTTAATGGCTGCATGAGCGTCACAAATGAGTGCTGAAATGGATTTCTGACATGGAGCCTACTGGACCGCTAAATATTGATTACGCATGACTTGGGCAGTTGTTTCGGGCAGTGGGTCTACAAGCCATTTAGAGCGCAATCAAGTGGCATCCACAAGGTGACGATAGATGGGTTTATGATGGCGTTTGGTGGAGGAGATGCAAAGGGTGGTCTGATTTCAGGGCTGGTAGCCTGAAGAACAGCACACACTGATGATGTTTGCTAGCATTTGTCGCTGTGAAAGTCCTCTACTTGGGTTCACTGGGCAGTAATTGTAGCTTTCTGGAATTTTCTTGGGCCAAACAAGAGAGATGTTGTTCATAAAAAAAGAGTCGACGTACAGGCTTGCTAGGCCCCCGGCAATGAAATTGTTCAATTTGAGTTCAAGGCTAATTATGCTAAGAGAAGGCTAGTTACGGTTTGAACTTCTATTTGCAGCTAAAATACCTGAGAATTTCAAAATAAATAAGATGCAGTAAATAAATAGAGTGAAACCTACTACTACTACCAGCACTATTCTTTGGTTTGATCGGATAACCGCTCTGATAATGGGTTTGAGTGTTGTTGATGCTTGGTTCCATAACTGCAAAGAACAATCAGTTGCCAACTACCTGCTAACACACTGAAGGAGGACAATCAAATCACAAGAAGTTTGATAAATGTGCTCTACAGGTGACCCTTGGATGTCTTTTTTTTTAATATATTCAACATGATAACAAAGCTCACAAAGCGTTGATAAAAGCTAAATTTCCCTCGTCTATGCCACAGGAACGCACACGTTCAGAATTTGTGTTATTTCATGTTCAGCTAGCTTATTAAAAACAGTGGCAATGTGGTTTAGAAAACCTTAATTACGCCTACGGCTACTGTGCTCACGTGAATCACAAAAACATTTCCTAACAAAATTGTATCACAATTGATCTCTGCTAATAGCACATTTATGCTTTCCCGTAAACTTCGTGTGGGATTTTCTTTTTTTTGGCAGCTAAAATAACTCTCAAGTCAAGTCATGAATCTTTATATTCGATTCATTCTAGAGTCTATTTTCAGGTTATAAGAACATCGAATTTAAGTTTCTTCACGAAGTACTTGAAGGCTAAGGCGTACTCTAAACTGTAAATATCCACGTGTGTGTGTTTTACCAGCACAAGTCTGGTGGAATGTCTGAAATATCTGGAATGTTTAACAAGACACTGTGGAATGAAGGAGACGTATATGAATAGAAAACAAGGCATATGGAGAAACATTTCATTTCGTCCTCATAAGACCCCCTTTTAGATTAGTGTCGTTACATTTATGGACAAACTACAGAGAAGGTAAACATTTTGTCGTACGGTCAAGAAACTCTCATGCAAGGGCTCTTTAGAAAGCCCCTCGTTATTCCATCTAATGTCTCTTCATCTATTGTTAATGTCTGCAGTTGGAAACAGGTTGGTCGGACTTTTGGGTTGTTATTTCGAACACGAATCGCTGTGCTCGTCATTCTGTAACAAGTGACTGAACATTTATTTTACGCCACGAAACACGCTTCCTCCCGTTCTACTTCTTTAATCAAATGACGTCTGACCCACAAAGGCCTCGCCGTCATTCTGCAGACACGTCTGTGCCCTTTTTAAACGTCGACTAACACATCAAGGAGTTTAAACACACAACAGTGAAGATCGTCTGTTATTGCTGATTTGGGATCACTCCCATCAGTCTAAGCAACGGACACAGGGCAACTTCACGTCAACAATATATTGCACTATTGTCACTGTCTGTTCACGTATAGTGTGTTCACAACATTGTTGTGTTTGTGAAGGGTTTTTTTTACCAAAAAATGGATGAAATGTCAACAAAATTAGATTAACGAGCCTGATCTAAAATGAACACGTCCTCCTGCAGAAGCAGAGTGAGTGACGCCTGCCACAGGACATACAAACGGAGTCTAACTGCTCTGAGACAAACATCATGGACGGAGACCATTTACAGTTTTCCCCCACGGAAGAACATTTTAGACACAAAAAATTCAGTTGTCGCCTACGTTACATGGTGGACAAGATGTCAATTAAATAACAATGTCAAACCAGTTATTGCCTCAAATATTAATGAATTCCGCTTCATCATAACAAATGAAATGTTATCCAAATGTGTACTTCACTTCACAAAGGTTTACTGCATGCTGAAAGAAACAACAACAAATTCAAATAAATTCCTTCACTTTCTGGTTTTACAGGTGTTGTTTCGTCCGCACCAGTGCTCACAGTACACATTCACGATAAACCAATTAAGATCATGAGAGACAGTTTATGGGGTGAATCCTCACAACGGAGAACCAATAGAAATGCAAGTATCTATATACACTGTATGTATCAAATATCAGCAAGAACAGAAACAGGAAAATTCAATCAAATTCTAAAATGATTTGGATAATTTCTTAAAAGTTAAAAATATGGCTTATACTCTTAGTCATCTTGTTATATGTCATATTTCACTTATATATACTTTTCTTTATAACCCGAGGCTATTTACAAACAAAAAGGGTGGCTGATGGGTGATATCGGATTTTATTCTGAGTGCCTGACATTAACATGGCATAAGATTGCCCTTGAATTAAAAGGTCCGTGTAGGTGTTACATACTCCGAGTTATCAAGAAAAATGCTCTTTATGAGAGATTAAGTATGTATTACCATCAGAGACCGGCTATTCTAAATCAAGGGTAAAATCATGCCACGTTGCTCCATTCCAGGACACTCAGGCGTTGGGTTGAAGAGGTTGGAGGGTGGAGAGAAGTGTGACTGCAGGTTTGGGCGGAGGGGAGCGTGGTTACGGCGGTGGTCTCGGTTAGATGAACGCTTTAGGGAGTTGATCGTATTTTCACCCAAAACGCTTTTTACTTTTTATTGAACATATCCATGAGCGGGGTCGGGATGAATTTCATGACCGTATCCACGATGCTCTCCTCTTCCTCCTCGTCGCCGCAGCCGGTGGGCACGGCCTTCTTGGCGCGAGTGAGGCTGCCCTCGGAGGCCTGCTCCATAGCGGCCGCTGCCTCGGCTTCCTTCTCCTCCTTCTTCTTGATGCCATACTACACAGGAGAAACAGGAAGTGATGTTAAGCTCCATCCGGATGGGATTCATGTCTCTTGGGGCGATTGGTTGAAAGTTAGACCTCTTGTTTTTAACATTCTTTTGACAATCAGTTGCGAAAACATTTATTCCTCAACTTGCACGTTTCTTGTTTTGATGTTACGGTTGTGGATCTGTGTTCACTGTTACCTCGAGTATAGTTTCAGCATGTACGGTTCTAGTTTGAGTAAAATCAATACAGTTGGACTGCAAGCAAAAAGCTTGCAGAGCAGAGGAAGGAACCATCACTCAACAGGCTGAGTGATGGTTGATCTTTAGGCAGAGATGCGGAAAATGAGCCTGACTCCTCCATGACTTTTTCACTGCTCCACCAGGCGCACGTTAATGTGCTTCTGCAGCAGTGAACATCTTAAAGGAGGACTACTAGTGTCCATTTCCGCTGTGAGGATGTGCACGGGGGACAGTACGAGCATCTGTGTGTGTGTGTGTTTTTCAGAGTGGAACACTAACGTTGTTAAAGAAATCAATGAAGCCAAAAAGGATGCAAACACTTTTCAACCTTTTGTTTGCCTTTGTTGCAATTAGTTTGACATTCATTTAAGTCTGCGTCCAGCTCAAAAGATGCTTTTGTCAAGACAAACGCATCTTTTAGTCGAGAAGAAATGCCTCAGAGGAAAACATGAGTCATTCTTTAATGTTTGAGTGATGAAGCTAAAGTCTTGAAAGTCGTTTGTAAAAGAATACACAGTAAACAGATGAACGTTTGGAAGGGAAGACTTTAAAGGCCAAAGCACACTCATAAATCAGAGCAACTGGTTGGGAGTTTGATAACTTCCAAGATTCTGGGCTAAGGAGGCTTTCACATCAGGGAACCGGGCCAGGATCAGGTTACACATGACCCCCAAAGTCCAGTTTGTGTGATTGGTGTTAACCCTGTGTACCGTACCCGGGAATGACTCGTTGATACGTGCCTGGGTGCACTCGAAAAGGTGGTCAGGAGTATGGGTCAGGTTTTACTTCGGTAGAGTTTTAATCAAGTGTGAAAATCGACGGTACCAAAACACAGAAGTGGACTGCCATTTAACATGAGTAGCAAAGGCATTTCTAAGCGCCGCTGGGTGATAGAGGAGGAATGGCAGGCTACAGGTCGTTCTTGACATTTACTCCAAAGTAAAATAGTAGGCATAAAGCGAAGCTCGGCTCCATGTATGAGCTTGGGCTCTTGCGATCTACACTACTAATAATTTGTCCCCGACATAAAAACGGCCTGTTATTTCAACGCTACATTTAAAGGATTCCCTCCTGCGGACAGTGAGATGATTCTGAGTTCTTCATTCCCTCTAATAAGATGCTGCCTTCTGATCCTTGGTCTTATAGGGCTCTACAACTGTAAGTGAAAGACAGAGCAGAGATCAGATCTCATAGTTAAGGCTCATCTTCATTCTCTGCATTTTTACGTCTACAGTAACAGCCTACCAGTAAAACTAGTTCCCTCTAAATGTATCTTTTTTATAAGACATAATCATACGATATGTTTAGATACAATTTGATATTCCAACATGGAGACAATTATCATTCATCCACCTTTAGAATAACTATGTTTGAAACTTTGCATGTAATTTGAGAAGTGGAATCATACGTGTTAGTTCAACACCTGAGAAATGTCCCTTCCTGCCTTTGACAGACAGTAAGACACATTGGTGTGATTGGTTGATGGGTATCTCCTCTGTATCTCCCTCTGCTCCCTTGTTTGCTCTCCGCTTTCCTTTCATGCCGCCCTGTTTTGTTCTCTCGCAGTCTGTCTCTCTCTCGCTCTCAGACTTGTTCCACAGCAACAAAGGCTTCGTCGGTTGAAGGGAAGACAGTCACGCTTAGTCAGCCCCTCTGCACTCGCTACAATCAAACACTTTCCAAAGATATGCCGTCATATCGCCCCGTCTCCCTCCTCTCATTCTTTCACAGTTGCTCCGAAACTAAACTAAAGAACCACTGGGCGTCAGTTTGAGGATCAGCTCAAAGATAGCTGTACAAGAGCTACAAGTTTTAAACTCGGCTTGACAGCCCTCAAAGAGTGTTCGAGTCACATGTTCAATGAATTATCAGCATGTCAAGAGGAATATTTGACCTCAAGCTGCAGATGCTTTTGATACCATCAATTAACATTTTATTGCAGATGAATTAAATATATTTAAGCATGAATCTTGGCGGAACATAAAACGGGACAGTGAGGCAAAAAATCTTTTTGAAAAAGTTTTTAAATGAATTTCATCAGTTAACTGAACGGCATAGGGCACACTCGTGTTTATAAAGCTGACCAGCATGCAAGGGTTTAAAGCACATTAATTAGGAGAGGAGAATAATCAGATGGGAAGGGCTGGTCCAATTTGTTTTTAATCAGCATCCGGTAGAATCAACCCAGTCTCCTTCACATTAAGTTCACAACGCAGCTACTTTACGGTACTGATCAGAAGCCCAGTCGCCAGGATGTTTTTTTTAGCCCCGTTAGTTGCTGCAAACAAGGGATGCGTTGATTGTGGACGTTTTTGCATTCAGTCAGAGGCAGTGACAAAGTGTAACGAGAAACTGTGCAATGATTTTATCAAAGAGCTACCGGGCTTTAGACCAACAAAACGGCCGGCAGGGGCACGGGCAAACTGGAGCAGAACTCCAATCAGAATTGGGAGCCAAACTGTGACAGCAGAGTTTCGTGTTATAATGAGTAACAAGCTACATTATGTTCTAATTTTAACACAAACCATGATCTTTATTCTAACTTTAACCAAGTAGTTTTGTTGCCTAAACCTAAGTCATCAATTCACAGCGTTAAACACGTGGCATTGCGCATTTCTTCAAGAGTGATACGAGGCTGATATCAAACGTATTTATGGTTCAGAAACGTTGACGTTCAACGTGTCCCGTGGTTTGCAGAATCAGAATCGACATTTTATCTACCGACTCTTAAATGAAACTGAAACAAAATGTTGTTCCACAAAGTTTGAAAGCAAAATGTATTTTTCTTTTAGAGAGGGGCGGAGCATGACCGTGCACATTCTTAAAAATCTCCTCAAAAGCATTCATAGTTAAACAATCAGTTGCTTCACAGTGGAAAGTGACGGACACAGTGGTGCAAAGAATTAAAACAGAGTTCTGGTCCTGCATTTCTTCACACCTCTGCACATCTGGCCAATCCCTCATTTATAGTCGGCACGCTTGTCGGATTGGCCGTTTCGGATAGAGGGCATCAATGACGGTAACAAGCAAGCAAGGATGCTACCTTTGTTAACTTGTGACCTCGGTCAGCTGTGTTGAGGTATTTTGTATTTACCTTATCTCTGATGCCCTGTCGGATGTTTTCTCTCTCTCCCTCCATTTTTGCATATTTGGCCTTCCTCTCGTCCTCCTGTTGCCTCAGCGCCTCTTGCCTTTCTTCCTCTTTCTTCGCAGCATCAGGATCCTTCTCCTCCCCCTCCCCACCGAGCATCTTGCCCATGTCTTTGGTGGCTCCTGTTGTTGGTGGAGACACAGAGAGAGAGAGAGAGAGAGAGAGAAAAGTAAGAAATGATGGGCGAAAACCACTGACACCGGCAATTCACAGTGATTGCACATAATAGATCTCAGCTATCGGCTGTTGCTAAGCATTTGGTGGGCACAGTGGCACATCTAAGATCTGGATAATTCAATAGACATTGCTTTGTACTTCAATCGTCTTTCAGGCCAGTGAAAGAGCAGCACAATCATGCCCCCCCGACTGAACCGAAGACTAAAGTGTCTTTGTGTCAAGTGTGACAATAGATAAAAAGAGGTGAGAGCCACGGGCGAGCCGGAGATAAGACACTGCGATAAATTATTAGCAATTCTCTTGATTGCCTTTGTGCTGCTCACGTTGACCTTTTTTCTATCTCCAAAAGGAATTTACATCCTCGTGCAAAGCGTCCACTTGGACTACGGGTCAAGACCTGCGAACAAGCCCCTTCAAGTGCCGTTGAAAGGACCATAATTAACAGACACTGGGTTCACTCTGATCCCATCTCCCGTCTGCACTGGTTAGACATGCTGAAAAACAGATCAAGCTTTGACTTTTGTGTCCCTTACTTGATCACTTCTAATGCTAATGACTTGAGCATCCATTGTTTCATATTTTAAATGTAAATGTTGTGGGTTTTTATTCGATGATGAAGACTGGTTAATTAAAACGCCCGCAGGCACAAGCAAAGCTGTCTCAGGCGCTGACATCATACTGTAACTTGACTTGTACTTCTTTCTGTGAGGAGCATCTGGTGTTTGCTACAGACATCAAATGACATGCCTCATATGTCACCACATATTCATGTGTGTTTTGCCAAAGTCCAGTGGCAATCCAGGAACAATCATGTCCTTTAGGTATTGATGTGGAGAGTAAAGCCTCAGGACGGTCGCACGGACACGAGCTGAAACACTTGCATCTTTTATACCATGCTGGTTTCTCAAAACTCCTCAAAGTTCTCCTGTTGGATGTGCGCGGACGGGTAAACCCTGCCGCACAGAAACTCGTGACTCTCGTGGTCGCGTCAAGAATAAGTGGCGCCAAGGGGTGTGAAGGTTGTGGTGGAGGATGGCATCAACCGTACTTTATCAACCATCAACAGATGTTGCTGTTGTGTCAACTCTGTATTCTCTTTTTACGTTTGGGGGGAAACCTATTTACTCGTGAATTACGGTCGCAGTTTTAAAACATGTTCTTAACGTTGTAAATTGAAACAAAACAAAAACTCGACAAAATGACTTGGTAATGTTTCGTAAAAAGATCATTGGTTGTTACATTATTAAAGTTACAGACGGAAATTTTAAAAATAAGTCAACGTTGTCTTTTGGTTTGACACCAACAGCCGTCCTCTGGTTGACCCATCCCTCTACCTCTACCCCGACCTCCTCCCTACGTGGACTATCATTAGAAACTTCTGATACATCAAAAACAAATCCGGAAGAAAATACGTTTCCTTTAAAACTTAACTAAAAATGCAGTTTTGTTGTATGGGAACATCATTTTTAAGAGAGCAGGCTGGGTGTGTGCGCACTGTCAACACTGTTGGAGCTGTCAGGACTTCCATGAAGCCATTTGCTGTCATTCACTCCGGTGCAACATGAAGACAACCTCACAGAGAGAGAGAGAGAGATGGTCCCTCTCAGCAAACATTTTGTCAGCTCCTGTCACACACAATATGCAAAAATAGGCAAGTCTCCTCGGGGTCGAAACACAGATTCTCTTATTACCTTTATTGTGATGCTTGAATATAATTGTCGAAAGTCATTCTTTTGTAAAATGATAACAAACACCCACTACTGTGTGCTTGATATACAATACACCTGGACTGCATTGCTCCATTTGGCTTGAAGTGTTTCACATATTCTCATTACACTCTGAGCAGCAAGAACACTGTCCGCTCAACCGCTTAGGTTTAACAAATGCTGATTTCTGTCCTTTAAAGTATCAGGAAGTGTGCTCACACCCCAGAGGCTTCAGCTCTTCTTTCCAGCTCAGTGGCTGGAAATGAGCCAGTGCTCCAACAGTGGCCCGACCAAGCCCCGAAACCCGTGACTCTCTGCTCACTTTCCCCCTCGCAGGAGAGAAAATGATTGTGGACCACACCGGGGCAAGTTTGAAATACGCCTTGCTCTCTCCCCGCGACAAGTCCAGCACTCTTCCTCGACTGTCTGCACTCCGGTCTGCCTCGCGGGCTCTCCTCCGGGGGAACAACTCAAAGACAGCTATCTGCTTCAGCCGTGGAATTGATGAGACAGCGCTGACCTTGGGGTTCTTGGCTGCAGTCCGAACTTGCCATTTTGACGGACTGGGACAAGCCCCGGTCCTTAGACATGAGGAGCAGGGTGAGCGACGATTAATAAACAGACACAATGATGTTTTGTCTGTCTTCATTTACTCCTTAGTGTGCAGAAAACACGACACGTTGGCATGTTAGGAATGAATTACATTCATTATCTCAAGGCTTTTTCATGTCAGTGTACCGTGTGTGTAATATACAGTAACACGATACATGAATGTTCCATCAGTCTGGAGTTAGCATTTCATCCAGTCCGAATGCAGTCAGCGACTTCACTGTATAATAAATCACAAGAAAATGTTTCTTTTAACAAATAATCTCAACCGCTTTGTGTATAAAGTCATTGGATGTATTTAGCATTTAAGTTTATTATTTATTTAATACATTTTTGAGTTTTCTTAATTTTTCTGCAGGTGAATCCGGACCTCGCTGTTCTGAGGACAAGCAGAGAGACTCTGCGGTTTCATTATTAGTAACGTGTTTGTGTGTATTAATAAAGCAGAAGCTTGTAGAGTGACTTTCTTGCAGTAACACTAAGACTAAAAAAATCGTTCCGTCTCTTTGTGCTTTGCCCCGAGGGGAAACCGAACTGCTGACTGGGCATGTAAACTCTCTCCTTGACCTGTTGCTGGTAGCTTGAGGAGATTTCCCCAATCTTACATGCAGAGCAATATTTACAGCAGACGAGTAGACTCTGATGGAGAATATCCCTCATCACCTCAGGGATAATACTTTGTTCTCTGGCCAAGCTGGACAGCAAAACTTTTGACATTAAAACTCGCCTACTTAAAATGAAAATAGCCCGACGTGATGACTGGAGAGTGGGAAGATATCTCTTTAAATCTAAGCTCAGACAAGGTATATTCTCACCTTCTCATTAGAACTCTTACTGATACAAAATGCTAATTTGTGCTAGCAAAGTCTATAAAATTGGGTAATAATATGGATAAAATGAAGCATTTTAAACATTAGAGTAACTCTATCTGTTTAATCTTGTTTTGTTACAATAATACTCTTTTGAAAAGGAGGTATTTTTCAGTATATGAATCAGCTGCGATATCAGATACACCTCGTATCTCGGGTCTACTTCTGCTTGTTTTTACCTCTTTGCAACTGATGCCACTTAATCTCTTATATTTCAAATGCAGAGCCTCTCCCAGGCCTCCACATGACTAATTTCGATGCTCAGGGCTAATTAGCTCATCTGATTGTGACAAAGTTGCTGTGTAGAAAGCGTTAGACCGTCGTCGTTCCCAAAAGCCTTCGGTGTCATCAAACGCTGCCAGCTGTGGAGTCTGGGAACGGTAAGCGAGGCGAGGAAGCTCCAGAGGAAAAGCCGGAGAGCCTCGGCTACGGATAGAAAAACACTGAGACACGGTCTAAAGTACTTAATTAGAAAGCACGATTAATAACTCAACTCACACCACAATGAGCGTCGTACAAGAAAACATGTTGATTTCTGAAAATGTTACTAAATTCTGAATCCAGCAAGCTCACATGCACATTAAGTGTATCACATCATGATCTGTGATGTCTAAGACCAAAGAGACCTTCCTGAACATTTGACAAGTCTGCAAAGCTCAAGAACCCACCACACCGACCACAAACCATTCAACGCTTTAACATCTGTGCTGGCACGCCCAACAATTAGGACCCTGCAGGACGACTGGATGACATCTTGAGCAGTGGCTGAAGGGAACAATAAATGGAAAGGACTCTTAAGCACGAGACTGAGCACCAGATAAAAACTGGTCACAGCATGAACTGGAAGACGGTCAATAAACGACCAGGAGGCCGATTATCGTGGAAAAGAGCAGGTTCTTGATTACAATCTCCCCCGTCAGTGGCCAGTTGTTATCATGTGACCTGGGTCTGAAGACTGATGTGAAAGTGGAAATGTGTTAAACAGCGAGCATGTGCACCTTTGAGCTCAGATTGTCTATGAGTTTACTTTAAATTACGACTGGAATGATTTACAAAAGTTAAATACACCACCAGACCTCACACTTCAAATCAACTCCACTAAAATCTTCCAGCTCTACAAATGTAAAAGATAACTATATTGGGTAGTCTACAGACATGTTAGCATCTCTGTGAGGCCGTCATGCTGATTGTAAAAATAAAACAAGCTTTAAATGGATACTGTAATCCAAAGTATTGCTGGATAAAGTCAAGAGCACCATTAAAGTTCAGGAGGACCATATATGCATCAAATGGCATGGTGATCCATCCAACAGTTGTCAAAACATTTCACTCGGAAGAACAAATGTCAACCTGTTGGGGGCGCTAGATGAAAGGACAGAGGATCACTAAAGTCATTAGGGTTCAGCCTCTGGGCACCGTGCATATCTGTGCCACAGTTCACAGTAATTCATACAATAGCTGTCGATGCTTCTCACTTAAAAAAGAAAAAAGATGAAGGTCAGTAGGAGCAGCAAGCTTTATCCTCTGTTATAGAGACACTAAACCAAGTCATTCCATAACTACACAGTACAAACCTAACATGTTTAGTGACTGCATTAGCGTGGAGAGCCAGGTCACCATGCTAACTCGTTACAGCTCTAAAAAGGGACTTTTTTTGGTCAGCTGACGCCCAAGGGCTAATTTTAAAAGTAGGAGAAGGATTTTTCTACGCTTAGTTAGAGACTGAAAAGGGTTCACGGAGAAGTTTGGAAGTTATGGGTG